AACATATATTTTTAAACATTGTAAAATTAAATCGTTACAATTAATTTAGGATGGAGGGAGAAATGATGTGTACATATTTAAAAAGTATTGATTATAAAGGGATGACAAGAGTCAGACAATTATATGAGAAGAGAAATTGAATTATAATCTTAGTCAGTTGACGTAAAGGTACGTTCTGTGGAAGTAAGATTATAAACAAAAAGAGAAAAAAAAATCAAAGTAAAATAATGCATGTAATGCATTAATTTTAACCTATTAAGATATTTTGATATTACTTTCTCAATTTTGTCATGTTTGTTAAAAGAATGACATAAAGAAAAGTTTTGTACAATTAAAGTTTGAAGATAGGATAGATTTTATTTTAAATAAAAATTTCTTATGCATAAAAAGAGAGTAACAAATAATTGAAGTATACCAAAATTAAATCTCCATGATGGAAACTATCACTTTCTATTTCACATGTCTCGAATTTATACTCTCACTTTATAAAATAACCAGATATGTTTATAGAAAGTTGAATTTAATTTAATTTCTAGTAGATATTTCGTAAATTATTATTTTTAATTTTGCGAAAGTATTCAAATAAATAGGACTAAAATAATTTGGGAAGAGGGAGTATATAATTTGTGAATGCGGATGAAAGCTGGATATTGAGTAGTTGTTTTTAAAGTTTTAGTTTTTAATTACAAATTTTTAATTTTTAATTTTAAAATTTAAATTTTAGGTTTTTAATTTCAAAGTTTAAAGTTTAAAATTTAAACTTATATTTTTAATTTTTAAATTTTAGTTTATACGGAGTATATTCTTTTTGGTTTTTTTCATTCGTCAAAGAAGTCAAAGTTTGTGAAAGAAGTCAAAAGCCAACCGAAAAGTTATTTTTTCAATACACCCAAAATTTTATAAGGCTCATTTTTTTGTTATGATCCAGAAAGTATTCACGTGATTTCATTTTGACAATATAATTCAAATTTTAGATTTCAATTTCTTTTGTTGTGTTATGGAATTGAAAAACATGGAATTGGAAAATTTGAAATTATAATTCAATTCTCAATTCACATATTATTGTGTAACCAAACAATATATTTAAAATTGAAGTTTCCAGTTCTAATTTCATGACCAGCACTCTGTATACCAAACACAGTCTAAGCTCTCACGAGATGAACACATTATAATTTCTTTTTACTAACTACTAGTATCACATCCGTATGTTGCACGGCTTGCATTTATATTATTAAATTTGATCATTATTGAATAATAGAAATTAATGTATCATAGAATATAAAGTTTAGTATTTTAGAGGATTGAATATAAAAATTTTATCTCTATCACAGTTGAATATGCAATACTAATATTGATAAAAATTACATTTATTTTACAATCTCATAATAAATGTGAAACTTATTTTTTACTTATTGAACATCTTTTGAATGAGTTCAAATTTTTAAATTGATGAGATATTGCCCATTATTAAATCATATTATGTTTGTCCTTACAAAACAATCATTATTCAAGACTATTTGAATTCTTACCAATTATAGATAAGTGTTTTTTCTCATTTTAATTTATTTCATCAAATGACTTATTTTCCTTTAAAAATATATACTAAAATATGCTATGTTGAATATTTGTTTCTTGCCATTTTTATATGAGTGTTTTTATAATAAAATATATATTTCATCCATTGATTTATTTCCATTTATACTAAATTATACTATGTTGAATATTTACTTCTTTCCATTTTTAGATCATATTTTTATACTAAAATAATTAATTTTACCCGTTGATTTATTTACATTTACATTAAAATTAACTATGTTGAATATTTATTTTTGAATATTTTCCAAAAATAAACCTTATTGCAAGACTATTTACTAAACTATTTATAAAAATATACACTAAAGAAAAGATGCATCAAAGTGATATAAGGATGTCATTTTTGAAGAAAAAAGATAATGCAAGTAAAAGTTTGAGAAAAAAGTCAATAAGCACATGCACAACGAAACACTCCCATAATAAGCTCATATATAATAAAAAGTTCATTTTTTTCTAAGATAAATCTAGACCTCTAAATATATAATAAAAAGAATATATATAATGAAAAATAAAAATACAAATAATATTATTCATTTCCCTTCGAAAATCTTTGACCATGATTAATAAAAATATTTATATTTATTTATTTATTAAAATTCATATGTAACAATTTTTCCCAAAATAAATCTAGACCATCCCTAGAAACTTGACCGGGATTAATAAAATACTTACATTTATTTAATTATTAAAGTCCATATACAACAAAGTTTCTTAAAATAAATCTAGAGCACACCTAAACCTTTGATAATTATAAATAAAAATATTTATATTTATTTATTAAAGTCCACATGTAACAAAATTTTCCTAAAATAAATTTAGACCACTCGCTGTAATTAAATGATGATGGTGCTAATCTCCATATATAATAAGCTCTTTATATAAAAAAAATCCATATATATCAAATTTTCCTAAGATAAATCTAGACTTCTCCATATATAATAAAAAGCTAATCTATGATGAAAAAAATACGAATAATATTATGCATTTCCCTCCTATAACCTTTGACTGTGATTGATAAAAATATTTATATTTATTAATTTATTTATTAAAGTTCATAAAGAACATCTTTTCCTAAAATAAATCTAACAATCTCTAAAAACTTGGATCGTGACTAATAAAAATATTTATATTTATTTATTAAAGCGCATATATAATAAACTTTTCTAAAATATATCTACCGCGATTAATAATAATATTTATATTTATTTATTAATTAAATTATAATGTCCACATATAACAAATTTTCCTACAATAAGTTTAGACCTCTCCATATAAAATAAAAAGTTCTAACACGTCTTTATTAAAGTCCATGCATAAAAAAATTTCCTAAAATAAATATAGACCAACCCCTAAAAACTTTGAAAATGATTAATATATAGAAAATATTTATATTTATTTATTAAAGCCCATATATAAAAACTTTTCCTAAAATAAATCTAGACCACCCCTAGAAATTTGACCGTGATTAATAATAATATTTATGTTTATACTTATTTATTAAATTCCATATAAGACATTATATTCTTTCCTAAAATATATTTAAACCTCTCCATATATAATAAAAAGTCAACACATCCATTGGCGGGAAAATTGGTCAAAGAAATCACCTCTTTTTAAATAAAGTATAGATGCCTTTACTTTTTTGAAAAATGACAGGGGTACACCAAAGGTGTACCCCCATCCCTATTTGTCCACATAAATTGGCAAGAAATTCAAAATAAATAAATAAATAAAAATCAAATAAAAATGAATGGTGGTGAAGGGGTGGTGTACATTTGGGGTATACCTTTGGTGTACTCCTAACATTGCTCTTAATTTTTTTCCAATCGATTTTCATAATAGAGTCGAAAATATGTACTTCACAACTCTTTAACCTTTTCAAAACAAATTTAATCATTCACTTTAAATTTCAATATATTTGGGGGGTAATAATGTATACATTTAAAAAGTATTTTTTTTAGATACAGAGTATACCGTATAAAAGAATGGCACCCCATCTCCAATGGTTTCTCATCGAGCAATTTGATAAGAAAAAGTAAAGTTAACTATAATTTCAACTAGTTGATATAAATGTGAGATTTCGTGTAAGTATTCATTATAAACAAGAGAGAAAAAACCAAAGTAAAACAATAATGCCATAAATTTAACTTTTATATATATATATATATATTGTTTTCCCAATGTTGTCATGTTTATTAAAAGAGTGAAATAAAAAAAATAATTTGTAGAATTAAAGTTTGAAGATAGATTTTATTCTAAAATAAAAATTTCTCATAGATATAAAGAGAGCAACAAATACTTGAAGTATACGAAAATTAAAACTCCATTATAAAAAAATCCACTATAACTTTATATTTCTTCCATCTCGACTGTATTTTCTCATTTTATTTATTCCGTGTTAACAAATCACACTTTTTGTAAAAAAATTGTTATTGTTAAATATTTATTAAAATAACATTATTTTATAGAAAATTTAAAAGTAAATTTCAAAAATGGGATTTCCTACTTAGTCGTCTATAATCAAATATTATCTTGGTGATCCTTTTTTTATAGTTATCTTTCTATAAATAGTTATTTTTTTAACTATCATGTTGGTGCTAATTCGATGGTTAAAAGTGTAATTTCATAATACTAAGATATCTTTCTTGTCCTACACAATTCTAAATGCAGTTCTTGATGTATCGTTTGTAAACTAAAGTCTTTTTTACTAACACCATAGTCTACAAATATGATCTTTCGTCAGAATCCTAGTCCATAATCACAGTCATTATTTTTATGTTATCCATCTAACTAATATCAGAATACTTCATTGGACATATGGTTGATGTTAAATTATACCTTTAACTTTTAAATTAACATTTACATGACAAAAGATAAAAAAAAAGAATCATTTGTTGAAAACACTCATAAAAAGAACTACGAGGTAATATTTAATAATATTTAATAATAAAAGACTAAAATGAAAATCACATTGTTATAAAAGACTAATTACTCCCTCCGTCCTATATCTTTCTTCCCGTTGCGCAAAACGAAGAAAAATCCAAGTTTTTTCAATCTATTTTATTTAAATATTGGTATAGAAATAAAAAATAAAACATACATATTTAAAAACTACATCAAAAGTTCAACAAAACAAGGGGTGACAAGAATATTTTATTTTATCATATAAGCCATGAAAAAACACAAATAAATATAAATTCCTGTGAAGTTAGAATAGTGTTCTGGGAAGAAAATTTTAGGACGGAGAGATATTAAATTTACTCAAAATTTAATTTATTATTTAAATAGATACTCCCTAAATTATAATTTTTAATTTTGTAAAATTATTTAAATACGGAGTAAATATGATTAAAAAGATTTGGGAAGCTATATAATTTGTGAATGGTGATGAAAGCTGAATATTGTTTGCTGATGATATGAGCCGCTTCTGAATTGGGAGAATTTCAAACCCTCGCCGGAGAGCGACTGAGCTACCAGGTCCGTCTTTCTCAGCCTCGTACATAGGGTGCCGTCAGGTGGTTAGTCGGTCGGGAGTTTTACATCTCATATACGACTCTCCGTTTATGATCCCGGAGCCCAGTTGTTCAAAATCCCAGACTCACATTTCTGTTTGATACTCTGAATTTAGTTCGGTTTCGTGATAACACAGTGACCAACTGGTTAGTAGGACTCACTTGAGCATTTCGTTTATAGTTTTTTTGGCAGAATTAGTGTCATCTTTATGCTTATGTTCTTTGATTACCTGGATTTGAGCGCAGGGAAATGGCTAGCTTGGTGGAAAGGCTTCGTGTTAGGTCGGAACGGAGGCCAATTTACAATATTGATGATTCAGACGAAGAAGCTGATATTAAGCGCCGCAAATCTGGCCATCCAAAGGAGAAATCTGAGAGATTTGTCAGGCCTGATGCGGTAAATTGCTAAAATTTTGGAATAGAGAACTTTTTGTTTCCCACATTGGTCATTTCTATGTACTCTTGCATATTTATTTTTTCATAATTTTCCCTCTGTGGTCCTTACTGCTCACTAACTCACACGTAATTGACACGCCATAATTTAGGATTTAACTTGGTCACTGATATAACACAAAGAAGAGGTCATGTTGTTTTTTCCACTCAAACATGCTTTCTTTTATAGTGACCTTGCAACTTTGTACTAGACACTAGTATTGAAATATGACACTTCAAATTCAATTAGATTTCTGGGATTTTAACTTCAGCGTTGCATAGGATAGTAGCACATTGGTTGAACTTGAATTTTAGAGACTTGGCTGGAAAATAGTTAAAAGGTTGAACCCCAGCCCCAGGCAGTACCTCCGGCCGAGACAGTAGGATGACAGAAAGTAAATAAAACTATAATCTCATGATGGTTGATAGGAAGTGGGGTCTGTCCTTGGTACAAGCAAGAATCCCATGCGGACCAATTCGTAATTCTATTGTTGGCATGATAAACTAGGCTTCTATATTTGCATGAGAATCTTATCAGTGTAGACTCAAAGATGGGCTTCTACCGCGTCAATGGGTGTAATAGTCTTTTTTAAGTTTTCATTTTAGACTTGCATGATCGATTTGAAATTGATGGTAAGAAGACTTGATATGATCCATGCCTCATAGAGAATCTCTTTTGAAAGAAATCAGACACTGCTCCTCAAAGTGGAAGTACAGTGAGCCAGTGATTCAAATAACCAATATCTGATTACTATATCATTAGTGGATCATAACATACTCTAAATGTTATTCCTACCCAATTACATGCTGCACACACACAAATTTTTCATTTCTCTGGTCCAACTTCGGACCTTTTTATTTATTTTTTTCATTTGAAGTATGTAGTTCGGTAGAGCCGAAGAAAATTATGCTTCACCCAAATAGTGTTACTACTAGAATACTAGTAAGCTCGTAGAAATCAGATTCGGTTGAACGTTTAACATAGCACTACCAAATTCTCGCTTTAGGTGTATTCCTACATATTCATAGACATTCGATTCCCTAAGTTTTAACACAAACTTTGGTAATTATTTTTTGTTCCTAACGCGTGAACAGGATGTGTTTTTCTCTTTTTTAAACCACTCAAATTGAACTTGATAATTCTTGTTTGATATTTAACTTGCTTGATTGTCCATTGTAAGTGAAAATGAATGCGACTAGATTTTTAGAAACACATTATGAAGCTTCAGTAATGGTGCCAACTTTAAAAGTGTAATGTTATTTTCACTATTGATTTTAATTTAATTGTTTGCCATGCTATTGGAATCACAAGTGTCCGAGATGCAAAGTTTATCGATAGTTCCTATAGGCAGTGTTTGGTTAGAGCCTTAGAGGTGAGGTAGGTACGACTCCTACCTAACTTGTTCGGGACTTTGGGTTGGCAAAATATGAGGTAAAGGTAGTGAAATCACAAATCAAAGGAGGTAGGAATTCACCAATTTCGTAGCAGCCTAACCGCGATAAGCATAAGAACTGATTGTATTCCATCCCTGCCCTCTCTGCCACGTCGCCAAACTTCCATCGTCTTTCATCATTGTCGTCGACCTCAAGGTTCATGTAAACCTATCACAACCCATCCCAGAGTGTGGAGTTTGTCATAGCAAATCCGCAACAAAGGTTCCATTTTTATCTTCCTTTTTTCCTATTTGGGTTGTCCCAAAATTTTCTGCCTCTTTCATTTAAAGGAAACGAGTATGTTGGCCCTATCAATTCTCTTTCCTCTACACAAACCACAACCACTAACATTCCACTTTATTAAAAATTGTGCCAAGTCAAACATGAAAGTAAATTCCGGGACGGAGGGATTGTTTTGATTAATTGCCTTATGATTTTCTAATTAATTGCTTTATGTGTCTTAGTTTTGATTATTTGTTGATTAATTGCTTTATTGAGATTGGTACCAGATGGGGCTAGTGTTGGCTAGACTCTAGAGGGGTGGCTAGGGTTAGCAATTTGGTCTCATTATATACCTCCTTCCACACAACATTTTATAATTTCAAGTCACATCTGGTTGCGGTGCTTTTCTTGCACAATGAACAAACTATAGGTTTATTTGCCCTAAATTGCATAAAAGGCTATATTTAAAGTTTAAACATCCTCTTTTATCTAAGTTGAATGGAGATAACATCATGCTCTATATCGTTCCACATTAATAGTGAATTTACTGCACTTGTATAAAGTCAAACTGGGAGTTGTTCCTTAGTTAATGGCGAATCCACTACATATAGGTGTTTATTTTGGCATTACTATTTAATTCATGAGCGTGTGTGTACATGTGTGTGTGTGTGTGTGTGTGTCAAAAAGAGAAAAAATCAAAATAAAATAAAGATAGGTTTATGTAAAAAATATTTATTATGTAATGTGTCTTTACTATTGTTATGTATTAATAGATTAGTAATATTAAGTATTAAAAAAACATTATAGTTGTGATAGGAAAAATTGAAATTGGAATTAAAATACAAATCAAATTTAGAAAATTTAGTTTTACATTCATTGATTGTAGGAATAAAATAAGAATGAAGAATCCTTCATCATGATACAAATTCCTAATTTCATTCCAGCACATAGTTTTTTTTTGTTTTGTGTGCCCGCTTAACTTTGTGGTTAGAGCATCTTTGTGTGAGGGTTTGGTGTGGGGTGAACCTAAGTTCCAAACCAAGGATTCCATAGGATCTGGGTCTGTTTGAGATAACCCTCCTAAAACCTTTAGAAACCCAATTTCTGAGTAACTCCAAAATGGGGTGTGGGGTCAAAGGTTGAGTTCTTTCTATCCCTTACAACACAGTGAATTCATCATGTACACTCATTGTCTATATTCTCTGCCCTCCGAGTGTTAGGGGTGAACCGGGGGTCTTATCAAGTTGGTGTTTTTAGGCTTGGAAATGGGAAGAAAATGGAGGTGTATAGGTTGGGAATAGGCTGGACACAATTTGGAATAGGTTGAGTTCTTTCTATCCCCGGTTCCCATTTCACCATTTTTTGGCTTTGGGGTGTGATGGAATAAATCAAAATGGATCTCTAAACTGTCTGCGCTTCTTTAGTTAATGAAGTAGCAGTTAGTCAAGCAATGCAACTTTCAACGTTGAGCCGGGGGTCTCTTTGGAAACAGCCTCTCTACTTTCGAGTAGGGGCAAGGTCTGCGTACACACACCCTCCCTAGACCCTACTCTTGTGGGATTTAACTGGGTTGTTGTTGTTGTAATTTGGAGATGGTGAGGAGTTCTTTTAGGTGTTTTTTTTTGAAAATTTGAAGAAGAGTGGAATATCAAGAGAGAAGGATGGGTTTAGAGAGGATGGGATAAATTCCAAATCAAGAATAAGAGATAATGACACTCTTATCTTAATTTGGAGCCAAATTAATACTAAAGGATAAACTCACCTCTAGATTAACTTGGGGTTAAACTCTAGTATTTAATCAAGATATTGCACACTCAATCAAATAACTAGAACCTAAAACTCACACTCAAGAGAACCACTCTTAAGATATAGAATTAGGAATTTGGCTAAAATAGCTTCACACTATTTTAAATATACTCAAAGGGTAAGAAGATTTTAATAATCAAAAAGTGGTCCTTACAATGGCCATAAGACCGAGATATATAATGAGGGGAGTGGAGGGGAAGAAACACACAATACAATAAATGCACACATAAGGAAGCTACTAAGCAATTTTCTCCCGTCAGATCTTAAGAATAATAGCGACTTGTTTATGTTCCTTTGGGGAAAATTCAGGGATGGGAAATGGACTTGTGGGGCTAGGTTTCAACCATTTGTGAGGACAAATCACAAGGAAATAAATGGCAATCCTTTGGGTGATGTGAGGGTGATATTTTCGGCCAGATTTGGGGATAATCAAAGAGGGGTGATGGCTGGTGTATTGGCCTTGTTGGTTCGTCATCTAGTGTAGGAAAAATCGCAAGGAATGAATGGAAATCCTTTGGTGATTTGGGTGGATATGTTCGCCATACTAGGGGGCAAGAAAAAAAGATGATGTCTGGTATGTTGTAGTTATTATTTGGTGGTTGGGGAGGAGGGTTGTATTCAGCCCAAAGGGTGGGTAAAAGAAGGGATTAGGCTGGCTGTTTTGGAAGTATATCTTAGGCATTATATGGGGGAACAAGAAAGGGTTGATTGGGTTGGTGGTGGGGTAGTGTGTTTTGGTTTTTGGTGGCTGTTTATTCAGCCTAGTTAGGGGACACAAAAAGGGGGAATGTATTTGGCTTGATGGTGAATAAGATGGGGTTATTTTGGGACTTAGTGTTTCGTCCATATGGGGGAAAGGATAGGGACTAATTTTGGCTGGTGGTGTGTTGTGGATTTGCCCCTTGGTGTATTATTAGGGATGAGATCTTTGGCCAAGTGGAGAAGAAAGAGGAGAATAGGTTTTTTGGGTTATTTTGGATGTTGTGGGAAAGGTATTGGAAAGGGGGAGGGGGTTCGGCCCTAGGTGGGGTGTAGAGTAACAAGGGTGTTGATTTGGGTTTTAAAATTTGAGAAAGGGATGATTTCAACCCAATTAATGCCACAATGGTTTGGCTTCATTCCCCTGGTTTGTCTTTCCTTTTGTGGACTAAGGAAAGTCTTAGGGGACGCTCCCGGATATCTAACACTGAGGGACCTCCCTCCACCCCTTGCTTGATGCCTCCACCACTTGCTTGATGCCTCCACCACCTAGGTTCACCTCCAACCAAATAACATTCTATATACAGGTGCCTGAGTTCATCTAGTTTTTCGTGAACCTATGTTTACCCATTTTACTTGAGTTTACTCTGATCCAAACATAGCATTGTCTTTTTTTGTTAAGGCTCATACAGAAAGTTTGTGTTTGTATTTTAATGCTTGTTTGTAGTATGTGTGCCGCTAAATTTAAACTATTACAACAACATTACCCTATTGCCTCAATGGCTCCGGCCCATTGCTTAGTAAGGGGAGGTCGGATGTACGCAGTCTGAGCCATATGTTTAAAACATAGAGCGACTGTTTTTAGATCACCCATGAATCGAAAGTTGCATTGACTAACTGCTACTTCACAATTGCAAGAAGCGCAGACAGTGTAAAGAGCCAAGTTGCTTTATTCCATCATACCCAAAGCCAAAAAATAGTGAATCTTTGGCTCCATAAGCTTTATTCCATCATATTCCATTATTCGTCTTTCAAATGGTAGGATTTGTATAACCCGTTTTTCACTTGGGAAGAAAATATTTATGCTCCCTCTGTCCCGAAAAATGCCACATTACGCAAAACGAAGTGAAATATCAAGTTTTATCAATTCATTTTATTTAAAGATTGGTATAGAAATAAATAATAAAATTTGCATATTTAAAAAGTACGTCAAAAGTTTTACAAAGCAAGTGGAGACAAGAATATTTTATTTTATCAAGTAATCAATGAAAAGCAAAAATAAACAAAGTTTTCCGTGATTTTTGAATAGTGAAGCAAACATTCTTTTTGGGACAGAGGGAGTAATATTGTTTCATTTCATTTCTTAGTTTTAATGCTTGGCCCTAGAATGTTCTTAATGTTAAACTAGAAGTGTAAGCATGACAGGTTTCATGATTTAACTTGTAAAGGGGATGGGAAGTGGGTTAAAGGCTGGTTGGGTTATTTGTAGATGGAATGGGTGGTAGGCTGGGCCTAGTGATGTCACTTCAAGGAGAGGCATATATGGGTCAATATTTGGCTAGTCTAGTGGATTGTCAGCAAAGTATCAAGAGTTGGGTAGGCTAAGAGAATTTGGGTCTAATAGGGTTGATTTGGGATAAGACAAAATTAGTGAACACGTGGTGGTGGCCTGGTGGGTTGGATGGTGGAATGTTTACAGGCTGAAGAGCTAATGATGTGTAGTAAGACACGGTACGTAACCTTCATTTGGTTTTTAAATTGCCCTGTTATTTTCACACACATTCCATATTCTAGAATAAAAAACAAAGTTTTAATATCCTCTCAAATTTTCCCCACAAATTTTGAGGACATCAAAATAATGATTACGAGCATTGCCAAATAGCTCTGACTCAACCACGTTTTAATTGGCCTTCACTACTATCCCTATCCACCTTTTTAAAAAGTATATATGTATGGAAAGTTTTGGTATTGTCACGTTCCATAGGGTGCTAGCATAGATTCAATGAACTGCAATAATTTTGCTCAATATAACCTTTTGAGTTTCTCTTAAATTCTGGATGATTGGTCGTCATGAGAGACAGTAATAAAAGTTTCATTAAATTTTCATAAGGTAACTTTTTTGTGGGCCTTTTGTGATAACATATATTAACCATTTTTGTGACCGGTCATGTCTAGGTTCATTGCATTGGTTATCATAATTTAAGAATGATCGTATTAAGGTTTTGTCGTGACCGCGATATACTCAGTTTCTATTTGTGTTTCTTGTCTCTGCTTGTAGAAAACATTTGTCTTGACAAGCATTCCTCCTTTTAGAGGTTTTCTTGCTGATCAAAATCGATTTGTGCTAAACTGCTAATCAGTGTAGACTTGAGTTTTATTTATGTGTCACTTTGATTTGCGGGTAATTTGTCTTTAATTTCCATTTGAAAATCAAGACACCACGAACATTATATGGATGTTGTAATAAGTGTTGGGCTGCCATTCGCCCAGGCCATATGCTTAGGGATATCTATATAAAATCCCTGATTCTATAAATTAGGACTTTTCATTAATATGTTTATTAAAGTTTGTGATGTTCAATTTGTTCCTGATAAAAATGGAAACTAGTTAAATTTTGATATTATTTTACTCCGTATTAGTTATATAACCAAATCTGGCCAAACAAAACATATCGATTATGTTTTGTTATATATATACAGGGCGCGGTTCAGGCGAGAAATGGGAATGATGCATTTTGCACTTATGATAGTGCATTTTTCGGCACTGGATTTTTTTTTGATTTATTTACAAAAATGCCAGCATGTATTTTTCAAAATTTTTCAGAGTTTTGATATTAGATCGCCCTTAGATCTTTGTAAAATGCATTTCCTGATTTGAAAAATGCACCATGGCAAATAAAAAATGCACGATTCTCATTTCTTTCACCAAGGTCTATATGTATGTGTGTGTGTGTATATATATATATATATAAACTCACTATATCCTAAAGTTATAGTTCAAAATGAATCTTGTGACAATAAATCTAAATTATAATTCAATATATTTTTCATGCTAAACATGGTCAAGGTTTATAAACTTTGACCATAAAAATACAAAGTAAGGTTATGGAGAAGATGGAGGGAATACTTAATTATTTATGTGTCAAATCCAACGGGGCTGTCATGTCAGCATTAGAGCTAATTCTGGAAGGAAGATAAATATTTTCAAGTTGGGATATTTTGAAAGAGATGTAAGCCTTTTAGGTTTTTAGCATTGCAAACATTTCACAATGGGTGGACTGAGGTCCTCTTTCCTGTTCTCTTAACTGTAATTAATCCTATCATACATGGAAATCCAAACATTCAGAGCCGGTGGTTTGACTTTCTCTTTTTTATCCCATTTTGTATAATAAATCTTACCAAATATGCTAGGGTATTCCATACGATACATCTGAAGCTTTGGCTTTTGTCTTTATATATCTTTGCTCATTTTTAAGAATGTCATAAGATGATAAAATAATATTCAAAACTCAAAAGTTCTCTTTGAGCTAAGAAGTTTTCTTTTCTCATAATTTTGACATTCCTGAACTGGCCTTAGAATAATCACACTGTCCACACGATCTTTTGTGATCTATACACATTTGTATTATGTACTTTTGTTTAAAAATCTTATTGGTAGGTGATGTATGGCGAGTGTTTTCCATTGAAAAGTTTGTCCCATTTATTTTGTGTGCCACTGATAGAAATTAGCTTGACATGAATGTTATTAGAATTGTTATAGAGAATTTGTGATATTAGGATTATGTCTTTGTTTAATTCTGATTTTTCCTCTCGATAGAAAGTTGATTGTTGCCAAGTTTGTGGTGGAGATGAGAATCTTCTGAACTGTGAAACATGCACTTACTCCTATCATCCAAAGTGTCTACTCGTACCTTTGAAAGCTCCTCTTCCTAGCAGCTGGAAGTGCCCTGAGTGTGTATGCTCTTGTTTCTCTTCAAATTGTTTTCTAAAGTGTTAAAGAGAAGTTATTTTATCTTTTCTATTTCCGTTCACTATGATTTTATATTTTCGCAGGTGAGCCCTCTCAATGATATAGAAAAAATTTTGGATTTTGAAACACGCCCAACTGTTGCTGATGATTGTGATGCTTCAAAAGTGGGGTCCAAGCAAATATTTGTGAAACAGTATCTTATCAAGTGGAAAGGGTTGTCATATCTTCATTGTATTTGGTAAATGTGATAACCCTTCAAACAAAAAATTAATTATGGTAGCCCTTAGCTCTCTTTATCTGTTTTTTGTTTTGTCTATGGTTGTCTACATGAAATCTAATGATGTGCATGATTCTTGTAGGATTGTGCGCGTTAACTTAGCTGGTTGAGGGGGGGGGGGGGTCGGAGACTCTCTTAGCCATGTAATTAGGATTTTCTTGGGGAGGTGTTAGACTGTTAGCCAGTTCTTTGCAGTTCTGCTTTCTTGCACAATTACTTATTTTCTCACTGTTCCGCTATTCTGTTTTTTATTTACACTGTTCACACCACACTTTGCTTCTTGCCTGGTGTCTTCACCTAAATATCCTCTCTACTTCTAGGAGTAGAGGCAAGGTATCTACTTACCACCCTCCCTAGACCTTACTTTCAAAGGAAATATACCAAGTATGTTTGAATTTGTTAGACGAGCAAGTTTCTTCTAGATAATACCAAGCTGTTTTTGTTTGTCAGCATTATTTTCATGACATTTTCCAATGCTATTCTCAATGATCTTTTGTCGCATTGCTTTATCATGTTAAATTACACAAGGCAGCATCCTCTCATGTGTGTGCTATTTCAGGGTGCCTGAGAAAGAGTTTGTCAAAGCTTACAAGAGTTGTCCTCGTCTGAAGACTAAAGTAAACAACTTTCATCGCCAAATGTCATCAATAAGTGATAGAGAAGAATATGTTGCTATCCGGCCAGAATGGACTACAGTTGACCGCATCATTGCTTGCAGGTTTTACATCCAACCTTTTTATTTATCTATTCGGACCTTTGTTAGTTTAGTATGTAACTTTAGACCAGGTTGGAGGACCGTACTGAATACTTAGAGTGCTTTAAAAGAAATTGTTTCTATTACTAATGTTAGATTTGTTTATTGAGTAGCATTGTTAAATAGATACCCCCCACCCCCCTCAAAATTTGAAATATTCGAGCAGACTTCATGGGCACATCCCAACCCATCAACTTGGTTATATGTGAAAGCTCCAGTGACTTTTTTTCAAGACAAGAAATAGAGGTGACAGGACTGCAGGAACCTGATTGAATGACCTTAATGATTGGAGCATGTACTGAACACCTGGCAACTGATGTCGGAAAATGTTAGAGGTTCACGGGATGGACCAATTTACACAGTTAAAATTAGAACATTGTACATCCTATGCCTAGCAGAAATAGTACAGGGACGAAAACCTCCAATTTTCTATTAGTAAAACTGTGTGATAAAGTGGGGAGTTTCTGTGGACCAGGCTTTAAGCCGAGGACGCGAGATTGGGTATACACAAAATTATAATTTTGGAAGTAAAGTGTGATATAGTTTTAGGGTAGCAAGGAAATCTCAAGAAGACTATAAAACAAACTTGAATCAGATACTAAGGGGATTGGAAACAAGAATATGGTGTAAAGTGTCATAAACACTAAGTTGGGGAAACTTTGATGCACTTCAGGATCCTAGTAACGCGTCCTTAAAAAGGATCCTAGTAATACTGATCTTTTATGGAGATACGTGTGGAATATAATCAATATATCACATAATTACATAATATTAAGCAATTAGAACTAAGGAATTTCATAGAAATACTTAGCAAATGATTGATTCTCATTGTATTCCACTAAAATGTCATATTTTTCCTACCTTTAGCAAACGTTTTAACTGTGGATAAATAATGGACTAAATCAAAATGACACACTAATCAAAATGGCACATTTAACTTCTTTTGCTTCTTACTTTCAATGAAATTTTGGGTAATAAATGCAGCAATGCAACAAGGGTCTAACAGAAACCGTCTCTCTGTATTTTAAAGGGGTATGACAGTGTACATCTTGAAGCCTTAGACCCTAATGGAGTCGGGTTTATATTGGATTGTTGTTGTTGTTAGTGCGGTTGACTGGTATACTTGAATATTATGTATTTAGTATATTTAATTTTACTTCAAGCATTGAGGAGGCACTATGTTGTGCTCTTTGACAGAGGAGAAGGTGAGGACAAGGAGTACTTTGTGAAGTGGAAGGAACTTCAGTATGATGAATGTAGCTGGGAGCTCGAGTCAGACATTTCTTCTTTTCAGTATGAAATTGAAAGATTTAACAAATTCCAGTCCCGACGTTCAAAAAAGCACAAAAAAAGTAATGAAGATATAATTGAATCAAATTCGAAACAAAAAGAATTTCAGCAGTATGAATGCAGTCCTGAATTTCTTTCTGGAGGTAGTCACAATATCCTTGATTCTGTTTGGTTTTATCATATCTCTGCAATTTGTTTTCTAAAGCTTTGCCAATGGTATGGAATGCAAGGTTCTCTGCACCCTTATCAGCTTGAAGGGCTGAACTTCCTACGATATTCTTGGTCTAAACAGACACATGTGATACTTGCAGATGAGATGGGCCTTGGTGAGGTTTTCTCTGTACTAAATCATAATTTCTTATTTTTTCTATGCTTCTTTAATCTCTAGAATATTCTTGTGTGATTGACTTGCAAAAATGCAGGAAAAACCATACAGAGCATTGCATTCTTAGCATCTCTTTTTAAGGAGAGCGTTTCCCCTCACTTAGTTGTTGCTCCTCTTTCAACCTTGAGAAATTGGGAACGTGAATTTGCCACATGGGCTCCCCAGATGAATGTTGTAAGTATTAGCATAATATATGGATTCGTTTTACTACTCCTTCCGGACCCTATTAAAAGGCACAATTGATCAGATTACTCAAACCAAGAAAAGTAGTCAATATTCTTTTTTTCTTAAAAAAGATTATAATATTCCAGTTTTACTCTCTTTTATCAAGTCATGTAAATCAATATTTGAACATGAATGCAATATGTATCATGGGTAAACTATGGAAAAGGAACAATGTAAGCTCCATACAAATAAAAGGCTCATTGAGCTTTATAATAGCACTGAAGGGAGTAGTTTTTATTTTGGAGGTCCATTTTTGGTCTTCTTCCTTGTTGAAACTGGTGTGATGGGAATGCTATTTGCTAGAGAACTTGGGAGGAAAACCAGGATAATGGGTATTGCAAAACATTCAGTTAAGAACATTGGTTATCACTTATCACATGTAGCATAAATATAGGTACTAATAGTGATGCATTGTGGGATGTAGCCTCCAATACGAAGGGAACACATTGGAGTCCAAGATCCAAAAGTAGTTGTATCATCGCGTCTTATTGCAGTACTTTTGGAGTCTTTCTACCCTCTTATACGACCACAGTCCTAGTAAAATCCCATATAGTGGGGTTTGAGGGGAGGGTGAGTGTACGTACGCAGACCTTACCCTTACTCGGAGAGTAGGGGGACTGTTTCCAAGAGACCCTCAATCCAAAACACGAGCACATCAACAATTGAAAATATCATGAACAAAGAGAGGATACAAACAGAATAAACACACAAACATAAACTACAATCTAAGGCATAAACGCAGTCAAGTAGAAACCGCAAACTTAAGCCCAAATGACTACCCTACTTCACTAACCCTAGACCTCAGGACACGCCTATCTAAGGTCATATCCTCGGCAAGATATTGGAGTTGTAAATCATGACGAATCATCTCCTCCCAACTCTTCTTGGTTCAACCTCTACCCTTTGTTACATCCCTTACCTCAAGCCTCATGCACATGGCATTCATACCTCACCTTAGTATGTGTTCAAGCCACTTAAATCTAGCTCACACAACCTGTCTTCCATAGAAACCACTCACACCTTTCTCAAAATATCCTCGTTTTAGATCTTATCCGTCCTCATATGACTACACAGCCACCTCAAGTCCTCAACATCCTCATCTATGCCACTCCTAGCATTCTAACGTGAGCATCCTTCACAACCCAACACTCTACACCATATATTATAGTCGGTGTGACAACAACCCGATAAAAGTCCCCCCTTTAGGTTTGCCAATATCCTTTTGTCGCAAAGGACTCCTGAAGCAAGCTTTCCCTTTGCCCGCGACACCAATACGGTGTGGAACATCCCCATCAGGCTTGAATGATTGATCCAAGCATATTTGTCACAGCGTCGCCTAGGCGTCCTGGCGCTGTGCTCCTCTCGCCTAGTGTATCACCTCGCCTTTTTTTAATCTCTCGCCTAGGCGTTGCCTTGGCCTCTCCTAGGCATCCGGGCATCGCTTTTTGAAAATCTTTTATAAATCTTTTATGCCTTTTAGTCATTGACTCTTTTCATACTCAGCATTTAGTTTGCACTAAGAAGTCGCATATTGTTTTTAATCATCTCTCGTATTACATATTCTTTTTTTTCTTCACATTATGGTGTGTTTATATTTTTTTAAGTATGTGTATTTTAAATTTGATTAGGATTAGAGAACATGTATGTTTATATTTTTACTATTGTTACTTAGTCATACTAATGTATATCAATCCTGATTTCTCATGTGTTGCCGCCTAGGTCGCCTAATTATCACCTAGGCAGTCGCCTAGTCGTCATGGCGGTACACTGGCGCCTCGCCTTGGCACCGTGACAACTATGGATCCAAGATATCAAAACTTAGCCCTTTTAGGTATTGGATGCGACTCAATCCTCACTTCCACTTCCGACACACCTCTAAAGCAACATACCACATACTTGGTCTTAATTCTGCTCAATCTGAAACCTTTGGATTCAAAGTGTGTCACCAAGCTTCCAACCTATCACTACGTCTCTCGTGTCTCGTCAATCTGTACAATGTCATCTGCAAACAACATGCACCAAGGTACCTCCCCCTGGGTATGCCTCGTCAGCACATCCATCACCAAAAAGAAGCTAGGGAGTACCAGAAACTCAACAAAACCTAGTCCGCCTTCTACTCTTCAGTTGTCATGTTTCCTTTTCCTCTCTAAGAGCATGTGCAGTGGCAAGGAAGTGGAATGCCTTGCACTGCCACATCAGCTCTTTCCACTCATATCATGGCATGGCAAGGCCAAAATACCTTGCTTGGTGAGGCATGGGTGTGGCACTCCACCCTTCTTTTTTTTAATTTTTTTTAAGAATTCCTTCATGAAAAAAAATGTATAAGAAAGGAATAATTTTTTGATAAAATAAATGATAAAAATATTTTTTTATGTTTAAAAAACATAAAAAAAATGTAAAAAAAGTGATAAAAATAATGACTTGCCACTCCATTCACTTGCCACACGCTGACTGGACGATTTTTGATTGGTTAAAATGTTCCACGTCAACGTGTGACATTCCATTTTTGCCTTGCCATTGTTGATGCTCTAACTTTGTTGCGTGTGATGTCCACAAGTCATGTCAATTGGCCAACTATTGGACTTGGTACATTGTTTGAAGTTGGTTTGGCTAAGAGTACTGGTGTTGCAGGCGTAAAAGGGGTGGGTAAGCGCAGTGTAGAGTAACACGAATACTAAAATCTGTATTTCTTATTCTTTTTAAAAAGAAGCTCAGATAATGAACAATTTTTGTTTGTCATTTCAGTGTGTATGTGTGTGTGTATGTCATTTCATAAGTATATGACATGCATGCCTTTTACGAAGGCAACTCTACAGATTGTCATCACTTCAAGAGATTTTGTTCTTTCTCTCTCTCTCTCTCTCTCTTTGAAAAAATGTTACTTTCTGGAATACAAGGACTGTAGGTTTTTTTTGAACATTGACTGAAGTCGCATAATACCTCATCATTATTATTGGGTATTAACCTTAACATAAGTACACTGATGTAGGTTATGTATGTTGGTTCATCCATTGCACGTTCTGTTATAAGGGAATATGAGTTTTACTTCCCAAAAAGGCACAAGAAGATCAAGAAAAAGAAATCCAGTCAAGTCCATGGGGAGAGCAAGCTAGACAGGATAAAATTTGATGTTCTTCTGACATCATATGAAATGATTAACTTAGATAGTGCATCTCTGAAACGAATAAAGTGGGAATGCATGGTAAGTCTCATTTACCTTCATGTGATTTTCCCTTAACGCTTGGATTGAGCCTTACTGAGGGACCAACATATGTATTTAGATTGTTGATGAAGGGCATCGTTTGAAGAACAAGGATTCAAAATTGTTCTATTCATTGCAGCAATACTCCAGCAAGCATCGTGTCCTCTTGACTGGAACACCTCTTCAGGTTTGTGAACATTTTCAACATTTGTCTTGGTGAAGCTGGTTATAGTGTTACTCATCTGTGGATAGTTTCTTTCATTCGTTAAAGATTACACCTAGAATCTACATTGTTTTTAAAATAACCTTTTTGTCGAGTTTGATGATTTATGCTGAATTGTGGTGGCACCATATGACATAGTTTTTTGAATTACAAATCAATATTGCCTTCACCTTGCGATAATTGTTTGCTTGAGTATGCATTTAGGCTCTTGTTAACTGTTATACTTCCGGATGATGCCTTTGCTGCATATTCACAATTCTCTTTCATGCATAAAAGCTTGTAGTTGTGCTTGCAAGATTGAAACATTTGTAGAGCTTGCTTTATCTTTTAGTTCTTAGGCTCAGTTATTAGCTCTGATACTTGTCTTTCTTTTATGCATTTCAGAACAACTTGGATGAACTTTTCATGCTGATGCACTTCCTCGATGCTGGAAAGGTCAGTGTCTGCAAAGTTTTCCAGAAGCAACTACTTCCTAAGCAATTTTATGTTTTATATTAATCTTTGCAGTTTGGAAGCTTGGAGGAATTCCAAGAGGAGTTCAAGGATATTGGTCAAGAAGAGCAGATCTCAAGGCTTCACAAGATGTTGGCACCACATCTGCTTAGAAGTACACTTCTGTTCTTTGTAGGATTCCTGTTATATTTTCAAAATGTCTTGATTAGTTGGCTGATCACATCTTAAATTGCAGGGTTAAAAAAAGATGTCATGAAGGAATTACCTCCTAAAAAGGAGCTCATTTTACGTGTGGAATTGAGCACCATGCAAAAAGAATATTATAAAGCAATATTGACACGGAATTATCAGATACTTACTCGTAAGGGTGGTGCACAAGTATGTTATATCTTCCTTTACGAGTTGCCTTTGCACTCGTATTTTTTTACATCTAATTGAGGCCCTGTTCATGCCATCAGATTTCTCTTATAAATGTGGTTATGGAACTACGCAAGCTTTGTTGTCACCCTTTCATGCTAGAAGGCGTTGAACCAGAGGATAATAAAGAGTTTAACAAGTAAGACTCATTGCAACGTTTTAACAATGGAAAGTTCCACTATCAAAGGCTTAAATAGAATCTAAAAGATGCTAGATAGTTTACACTATGTTTGGCTTTCCACATAAAAAGTAATTTCATGTTAAAAAAATAGATTTCTTAGAGAAAACCAGTGGCAGCACATATTGTTGTCTTTCTGGTGGACATCGTCAATGCAAGTTAAAACTATTATGCATTTTTCATTGAACTCGATACATATTTTCTCACTCGCAATTATATAACAGGAAGCTTCTCGAGTCTTCTGGCAAATTGCAACTTCTTGATAAGATGATGGTGAAGCTTAAAGAGCAAGGGCACAGAGTTTTAGTATATTCACAGTTCCAGCATATGCTGGACTTGTTAGAAGATTACTGCAACTTTAGGGTAATTGCACTTTAATTTGATCATCTAGAGCTTTAAAATGTGATGCAGTGCTCAGTTCATTATCTGGAAAATTGGTCTTCATTGCTTTCTTTCCATTTCTCTGATCAGGATTGGCAATATGAACGTATTGATGGAAAAGTTGGTGGAGCTGAAAGGCAAATTCGAATAGATAGATTTAATGCTCCGAATTCTTCCAGATTTTGTTTTCTGCTGTCAACAAGGGCTGGAGGATTGGGAATTAACCTAGCTACCGCTGATACAGTGATTATATATGACAGGTTTTAAAGATTTATGCTAGTATTACCTTTTTTTTTTTTTGCTTTGATTGATAAATGAATTTGATGAAGTTAGATGTTCTTTCATATGTCATAGATGTATATGCACGTGGTGTGGCCCATTTAAGAAAGATGGAGTAACATATCTGATACACTATTGACATGATGAATTTACACGTTCTGTTTCTTTGTCACTCTCATTTTCATCCTAGAACTTTCTTTAGATTTTGGGACGGAGGGAGTAGTAATTAAGAACTCTAGAGTTTAATTTGTATGAGTTTGCGTTCTGATTTCTGAGGAACCAATTTGTAGCTGTGGCCAAAACCCTAGAGGCCTTATCGTTAGATGAAATTATGGATCCTTGTAAGGTCTTAATGCCTTTTTATGGTCCATCAATAACAAAACTTAAGTTTTTTAGTGGTTTAATGGGTTCATAAACATCTATTAATCAAGTGGTGCTCTTTTTCAGCGATTGGAATCCTCATGCTGATCTACAAGCAATGGCCAGAGCTCATAGGTTGGGGCAAACAAACAAGGTATCACACACACACACACACACACATATATATGCGCATCTTTCTTGGTTGTCCACTTCTCTTTTTTCCTTTTATATAAAATCTTTGCACATAAACTATTTTTCCCTATTCAATTTTTTTACAATTGCCATTTTATTGATGCTTATTTTTATGTTTCCTATTTTATTTAATATAGTTTATTACAATTGTCATTTTATTGGACAATACTAACAGTTTTGAATAATTTATCATTCCAATGCGTTATATTAATTTGTGTGATTTGATCAACCTAGAATCCTAGACCAATAAATAGGAATTGAAGGAGTATATTTTATGAATCTGTTCAGAACATTTTGATTCCTTGGTTGCGTCTCCGGATTTATGTGTTTGTTTATGATATGCCAGGTACTGATATATAGACTCATAACAAGAGGAACTATTGAAGAACGCATGATGCAAATGACCAAGAAAAAGATGGTTTTAGAACATCTAGTTGTTGGGAGGCTCAAGGCTCAGAACATCAACCAGGTTTCTCTCCAAATAAAAACTTCTGCTGTTAAAGTTGAAACAAAATTCATTGAGTTTGTTTGCTCAATTATTTACCTATATAAATTGTGCGGTATACGATCTCCATCAACATTCAGAGTGAAGCTAATTTGAAATCTTACATGTATTTAAGCTTACTCTGTGTTTTTTCAGTGCTAACTGAAATGGTAAATTATCACCTTTTTGTCTTAGTGCCTAGTAACTGGCTAACTACAAAGTCTGTAATGTGCTCTTTGCTTCACAGTTCAATAAAATATCATTGTATTATTTTAGTGTGTGATGTAGTCACTTGGCTCAGTACTCTTACTATATTTATAATTTAAAAGGAAAATTGCACCATATGAAGTATTTGTTATTTCAAATAGCTGAGCTATTTGGTTTTATTTTAGTATTTATATTTATGTGCTATAAATAATTGAAAGTGTCTTCGTAACAAAGTAATTATCTCTCAACGGAATATTCATATTCTCAAATTATAGTTGAGTCTCCCTGGTGTGACATTTTTTTAACTACTGTATTTTGAGGTGTTCCAAGGTCACATAACTTCCACAACCACATCTCTTTTGTGGTATACTTGTAATTTGATAATTTGTACGCCTAGGACTATCTAGCTCATGTGTACTTTCTTTTGTAAGACCGTTTTTATAATTAGCTTGATGTTTAAAATTAATAGTGGCAATCTAAATCTGAACGCAGGAAGAACTTAATGATATTATTAGGTATGGTTCAAAGGAGTTATTTACTGATGACACCGATGATGCTGGAAAATCAAAGCAAATCCACTATGATGAAGCTGCTATAGATAGGTTAGTATTATTTCCTTCATATGTATCGTGCCTTACAAAAAATTCTCTTCAACTTCTCAATTTAACTTACCCGTGCTTCGTAAAGAACTAAAGAAGTGAAACTATACTTCAGTATTTTAACTGTTTGGACATCAGATTACTGAACCGTGAACAAGTTGGAGATGAGGAAGTTGTTTTAGATGATGAAGAAGAAGATACATTCTTGAAGGCTTTTAAGGTTTATTTCATATGCTTTCTTGAATGCTTTTAAGGTTTATTTCATATGTACTTCTCTTCAATGGATGAATTTGCCACACTAGCAGTAAATCCAGTAATTGGTTCCCTTTATTCTCTTGCCAAATGAGCATGGGCATGCTTCATGGTGAAACTGGTCCACCTGATGTTTCAGGTACCAGAAATATGAAAATGAAGCAGATATAACTTTGAGTTGGTTATTTTCTGTTTCAATAGTATAGCACTTTTATTTTGTTAGTTGTTGACACAATCCAAACTATTTTCATTTTGAATTGGAGGGTCCAACATAGAGATATTACCAATTTTAATGTAGAAAGCAGCCATAGTTTACTGTTGAGCAAACTGCATGTAGAATGAATAGAAATTTCACCCGGACTTCCTTTTATTAAGATGCTAAAAGTCTGCATGATACATTGATACAACAACACCAACAAAACCAGTATAACCCCTACTCCATTTGGGGGTGAGGGGTCAAGATGTACGGAACCTTGTCCTCGTTAAAACTAGACACACTGTTTCTGTTTCTGAATCCCTTGTCTCGTTAAAACTAGACACTGTTTCTGTTTTGAAATTGTTTCTTCAGTTGGGCATTGTACAACTCAGCTTTTATTTTGTTATTTCATTTGCACTTTGATTAGATTCTTTATTTTGAAAATGCTAAAACATCTTGAATGCTTTAGGTAGCAAACTTCGAATACATAGATGAAACAAAATCAAAAGATGAAGTGGAAGTTCCAACAACGCTATCAGAGGATAAACCAGCTTTAAACAGTTCAGAAAGGGCAAGTTACTGGGAGGAGTTGCTGCGAGACAGATATGAGGTTCATAAAGTCGAAGAACTTAGTGCAATGGGCAAGGGGAAGAGAAGCCGTAAGCAGGTTTGGATGTTTAATCTAAGGGCACCTGTTTTGTTAAATTGTTAATCCCAATGAAGAAATGCTAGTTTTTAAGTATAATCTTTCATTCTTTCTTCAAGTCTGATTTGTAGTGTTAAACATGATTTTGAGACAATATAATATTTTCAAGGACCAAATGTTTGAATATTCCATTTCCCCCTGATCTTATTTAATTCCTTGTGTATTATTTGTTTTCTCTTGGAGCTGTGTATAAATGCTGTAGTTTGTGCATGCTCCTGTTAGTAACATAGTAGTATTCTTTTACCGGTTTGGGGATCTATATTATGGTGTGTTCTCATTGTAATTGTAATTTCTATTCATGACATTTCTAGATGGTGTCAGTTGAAGAAGATGACCTTGCTGGTCTGGAAGATGTGAGCTCTGATGGAGAAGATGATAACTATGAAGCTGACTCATCTGATGGTGAGACAGCAGCAACTGGAGTTGCAACCCTGAAAAGATCGTATAGGAAAAGAGCACGTGGTATGGAAGGGATACATATCATTTGTTTCACACTTTCATGAATCTAAGTAATATGATACCTAAAAGCAACACTTGTTGTCAACATTGAACAGTGGACCTGAGTCTTGGTGAAGGAAACTACCTTCCACTTCCAGCCAGTAAGTCTCACGACCCTAAATTAGTCTCAGTTTCCTGACGTAAACAGGTCTAAAACTACTCCAAAGCAGAATATGTTAAAATTAGAGTTAATATGGTGATAGATATACACGAAGAGATGTAATCAGGAACGTGTGAATGTTGTGCCTTATTGTTACAATAATCAGAACACTACATTTTCATTCTGTGGAATATCTATTGTATTATAGGGTGCGTTTGGTTGGTGGGGTATTTTCCTGGAAAATTAAAATTCTAATTTCCAACTTTTGGTACCATAAGTGGTGGGAAAATATTCTTTAAGGAAAAATATTCTCTCAACAAGGGGAAAATGAATTTCGTTTGCTTTCGAAGCAATATTCTTCTCAACAGTGCAGACTTCATCCAACGATGCTGCATGCACCACACGCCTCCTGCATGCACCGCCTCTGGCGATTGCTCCAGACCAGATTCTTTTTCCAATTATCATGCCCCTCCGTTCAACAGTCCTAGTGGCCTCCACTTTCTTCACTTGTGCAATAGTCATGGCCATTACCACTGAATGTTTGGCCGGTAGTTCCAACTACCAAACACAGCCTGTGTCCTGTAATATCACTGATAAAAAGGATGAGTGAGATCAGATGGATGCCCTATTGTGTAATGTCATGCGGCACTCCATTAATCCCACACTCCTTCCAAAATATCAATTTCTCTTATATCTTATGCGTAAATTACTTTGGGGGAAGACTAAACAAGTGATATCCAAATCTTCTTTTCATTTGTATCCAAACCTGCCAATATGAAACAGAGAGATTTGGATATCCAAGACTCTCTTGGCCGAATTGAAGCTCTACAACTTGATTGCAATACGTAGTTTTGAACCTACTGAAGGAAGCACATAGCAACATTTAGCCCAACCACAAGATAAATTAAGGTGTTAGCCTTAGCTGGTTTGCGTCCAGTTTTCTCGCTCGTACTGACAAATTCTCTCTTGGCCCACTTTCCATCTATGACTGATGTTTTTGGCAGGATTCTTCACACAGCATCTCTTTCAATTGAAAAAAACAATTGGCGAGTCTACCATTCTCGCCTCACAAAACCAGGACTGAAAAGACCAAGACAATCCATCGCAGAACCTGTCAATATTGCTCAATGTCCAATGTTGCTCATTTTCCGTCCTCTCTGGTTGTGATCACTGATCACACATGATGAATATGCATCCTATTAGAAATTTATAGCCTCTCCAGGTTGGTCTACACCACGTGTCTTGAACATGAAGTACGATACAAATGGTTCAGGTACCTCATTGCTACAAGACCAGATATCTCTTTCGCTCTAAGTGTGCTACTTAGACAAACCTTGTGATGGATACTGGGATGATGTGATTCGGCCATTCAGGGTGATTCAGGCTTTAAGATATATTGAATGCTCTCCGGAGCAAGCAATTCTATAAATACAGAGGTCATAATAACATTGTGGGGTACTGTGGTGCAGATTGGGTTGGTTATTGTATTTTATTTGGTGAATATTTAATCTGTATGAAAAGGAAGAAACATGATGTAGTTGCAAGATCAAGTGCTGAAGCAGAACACAGTGAAATCAGGTCACTAAAACATCTCTAAGATGTAAAGTATGGCATTACAAAACAGTTAAGACGGTGGCAATCAAGCAGTTATGCACATGGCTTCTCATCCAGTGACCACGAACGAACAAAACATATTGAAGTTGACCATCTTTTCACCCAAGAGAAAATAGTTGTTGGACATATAGCCTCAAGAGGACCTAGAATAAGATACGTTTGTAACAAGTTTGGAGTACATGTACTATGTTCTCCACCTTGAGAGGAAGTGGTGAAAATTGAATTGTGGGGTAGGTCTAGAAGGTGCCGTATGACTTAAAAGGCTTTTAGTCTTTAAATAGTTGTAGTTTACTTCATTTCTAGTACTAGTATGTATGAAATCCAATTTTCTCTGAAAGTCACATTCTATGCATGATTGTGTATAAATTTCCCCTATATTTTGCAGGTTTGGTGTTGGAGAGTTTGACTGGGCAGAATTCACACCACGTCTCAAGCAGAAAACTTACGAAGAAATTAAAAAGTATTCGAGTACTTCTGTTTTAAGCTTGCTTATAGTGCCACCCTTCGAAAACATGTGAATGTGCTATATCATTTGGAACTATTAGAAAATTGTGAATGCGTTACTTCCTTTCTCTTTAGCCTGGGCTGTATTCTATTTGTTTGTACATCTTTTTTCTTGCCCTCCGTCAGTTGTTCTGTGCTGCTGTTTTTATTTCAAACATGTTTTGATGTTATGCATTCTCCTTGTACACTTCAAAAGCCTGTGATATATTTACTTGGTAGTTGGTACTTAAGTGGAATAATGAGTTATTTGCTATGTTATTCCTTAATAGCGGGATTTAGGGGCTTACTGGCACACTCACACTGCTGCCTGTTTACTTACATTGAGCATATAGAACTTTATTCAACTAATTTTCTAGTTTTCTATGTTTGACTAAAAGTGCCAATGATTACATGCATTAACCAAGTCTTGTGATGTGTTGTAATAACAGTTACGGTCGCCTCTTTTTGTCACACATAGCTGAGGATCTTACTGATTCTCCAAACTTTTCAGGTTATAATTTATGTCATCTGGATATATCTCTTGTTTGAATTTTATTTGCACCATTTTATTTAATTGTTAGTTTTCGAATTGACCTTGTAAATTTTACTGCATGCAGATGGTGTTCCCAAAGAAGGATTGAGAATACAAGATGTACTTGTAAGGATTGCAGAACTACTGCTTGTGAGGGACAAAGTAAGTCTTCATTTATGGGAGATAAAACATTGACTCATTTGAGCTCAGCCCTTTGGTATGACCGCCTCATATCGTGGTGGCTCTTCCCTTCGTTTCTGAGGATGCCAAGTTCTCATTTAAAAAATAGTAATTCAACTAGTTTAAGTCACTGTGATAGCTCACACGCTTGTTTCAATGTCAGTTTTGATGAAGATTAGATAAAACAGTTTTGCACAGGACCTACATAATTTTTTTGATATGCAATCTTGAGTCCAGTAAACAACAACAACAACATCCCAGTTGAATCCCATTACAATAGGGTCTAGGGAGGGTGTGTGTACGCAGACCTTGCCCCTACTCGGAAGTAGGGAATAAAATCCTTGTTTTCACATGTTGGGTGCATAAAGGTCCCACTATGTTTGCTTTTTTACCGTAGTAAAAAATGCTGTTTTATTCTTCTTTGTGTGTGTGGGGGGGGGTGTGGGGGGACTAAAGCATCAGTAGTGCTATTTGCTTCATCATTAAGAGGTGAAACTATCAACAACAACAACAACCCAGTATAATCCCAACTCCGTCTTTGTTCACTGGGGTCAAGATGTATACAGATTACCCATGTCTTACAGGGAGACTATTTCCTTTAGACCGTAGGTGCATGATGCATTTACTGTCCAAAACTTCATAGGAAGTAAGAAGCAAAGGAAGTTTAATGCGTCATTCCGACTTTAGTCCATTATATATTTATATGCCGAAGAACACTCCCATTATTGACTCCTTTAGATCCATCGACAATGGAAACATAAGAGGTTAATGTATAAAAGCATAATAGAAGTGCTCCGGTGTAGGACATTTCCACACGTGTCATTGGAAGGATACAAGTGTTTCCTTTGGAATTAGGGAGGTACCATGTTTTGCAAAGACTTAAACAAAACTTTAGAAGCATGACAACCAAGCCAAATGTTGCAGTTCGTATAACTTTCATTTCTGTTATTCTTTGAGTGCCTGTTTGACACTTGACAGAAGTAATCACATTTTAGAATGATACAGAGTATTACAGATGAGATGGTTTTGTGCTCTCTTGCCTTAGCTTGTGCATTATTTGGTGATATTAGCCATGGATCAACTTCTTGCCTCCTTTAAACATTCCTTTAGTGCAATTGTGATTGTACTATTTAAAGCATGAATAGAAGTGATTCTGACCATGGTTCTAAAGTTTAAATTTGTATTTTACGGAGTACATATTATATTAAATCTTGGACTAACAAACTTGTTGGGGGATTTTCAGGTCAAAGCTGCATCTGAAAAGCCTGGAAGTCCTCTTTTCACAGAGGACATAGTATCTCGCTTTCCTGGAGTCAGGGGTGGAAGACTGTGGAAGGAAGAACATGATTTACTACTACTTCGAGCAGTATTGAGGTAATGTTCTACTGCAAAATATTTCATGATATTGACATATTCCCATCACCTTCATACCATAAATTGTGAGGTTTGAAATATTTTAAAAGAAAAGACAAGGGTGAGTGCTAATGTAGAGATTGTCTTTTAGGAATACTTAGGACCTGAGTTATGCTTCTAACTACTCTAATGACTGTCCTGACAACTTCAACTAAACAACTAGATTATCTTACTCCCTCCGTCCTGTAAAATTTCACAGTTTGATGTCACCTAGTTTAAGAAAGTTGTTGAAAAGTAAAAAAGTGTGGTTAGAATTTGTTTAGAGTAGAGAGAATTGTTTGCTAAAAAAAGAAAGTGTAAAGAATTTTATGGGACAGAGATATTACAGAACATAGCTACACATGATTCTTTGTGAGGACATCATATACTCTATATTTTGCTTTGTGGATCTAAAACATGTAGTTCATATAAAGAATGTGCTTCTAAACCTTACTGTTGCCCAGGGCCCCAGCCCACACTAACAGCATGGATTCTCAGACGATTATAATTCTTATGTTTCTTCTCTAAATTCTATATGCTGGAACAACATTGATTTAGTGGAATCTATTATGTCTGTATATCTTTGCCAAAGCCGCAAACATTACTTTGATCATACTTTCCAATTATGGATTAATGCTTATTTTTATGTTTCCTATTTGTCGCTCCACATGAAGGCATGGTTATGGAAAATGGCAATCCATAGTTGATGACAAGGAGTTGAATATCCAAGAACTCATTTGCAAGGAGATAAATATCCCCTTTATGACTTTGCCTGTACCAGGGACTCCTCAACAACCAGTTATTGCACCTGGAACCTCTCAACCACAAATTCCTGTTGCCGGTGTTTCCCAAGCACAAGTATCAAATGGTGAAACTAAAGCAAATGCTGGAAGTACTATGAATCAAGTACAAAGATGTACTACTGGAAATGATCTTGGGGTTGAGGCTGGTGGTACTGGAACAAATGACCCTTCAAGCCGAACACAGACTTTCCAAGATTCTTCTTTTTTATATCATTTTAGAGAAATTCAAAGAAGACAGGTTGAGTTTATTAAGAAAAGGTTGCTTCTACTAGAGAAAGCTCTTAATGCAGAATACGCTAAAGAAGCCTATGTAAGTTCCAACTTACAATTTCTTATCTTAAAACATTTTTAGTGTCCTTTTCTGGTGTAGAGTTTCTATTATTTCTTCTATACGAGTATATGAATGATCTTTGAGGGTTCACATTTTCTTTCTCTCACCTCTTATTTAAGAACGTATGTGCTATGCATCTATCACGACTCATGAGGAAACATCACTTAATATAAAAGAAACTCCTACCCCCTCTCCCAAGAAAACTCTTTTTTCTCGTCTCAAAATAAAGTTTCTCTTTCTTTGTGGGAAGAATTTGTGTGGTTCATTTTTTCCCACATAAATCTCAGTTACGCAGCTCTAGTTTTTAACAAACTTTGTGGGAAGAATTTGTGTGGTTCATTTTCTCCAACATAAATCTCAGTCACACAGCTCTAGTTTTTAATAATGGTGGCATGTCAAACCATAAACTCCTTTACAGGACGTAGGGAGTGTTATTTTATTGTTCCAATGTCTCCTAAGTTCTCTGCAAAAAAAACCTAATTCTATCTTTGCACGATGCTGCATTTGCTACTCCTTTGTTATGATTATATGTCTAGTGTTCTTTTACCAATAAGCATATAAAGATGAATATATTTTCAAACAACTCGTGTCCTTCAAGAGACCTCATAACAAGGATCTCATTCTGATTTTTTAGCCTTACTGGATCAGTTTGTGTTGGGTGCATAAGTTTGTTCTCTTTTCAGCTCTGTGGTTTACTCACGGGTATCTGTTTGTCCATGCTCATTCCTCTCTCTCTCTACAGGGTTATGAGAGGTCAAGTGAATTGCCTGGTGATGAGACAGAGTTTGATTCTAAGGTCGTAGATGCGCCAAGTCTAAATACAGATTCTGATAATGAAGTTTTTGACCATTTGCCAAAGATTATTGGGATTTGTAAGTATACCCTTGTCCCTCTTCAAGTTTTATAGGATTTCATTTATTCCCTGTAAATGGCACATTAAACTTCCTTTGCTTACTGAAGTTTTGGGAAGTAAATGAGGCAATGCATCAAGGATGTAATGGAATCCGCCTCTCTGTTTTTACAGGGGTAAGGCTGCATCATCTTGATCCCCATATCCCAACAGAGTTTGGATTATACTGGCATTTGTTGTCCCATCCATGCACTGTAGCAGATTTATAGTTGGACAATATGGTAATAGCTTATTTAGTTGAAGCTATAAATAAATGATGAACCTTCTCAAACATATGCAGCACGACGTATCTGTTGACATGATATAGGCACTGGATTATGGATGTTCGCTGGTGTTTAGTATTATTATTTTTTTGTGGCAATTTTCTCCTCTCATAACACTTTGCCTTTTGCAGCTCCTCGTGAAGTGTCAGAGGCTGCTTGTGATACCAAACCAGAACGTTTAGCTATGGCTAAGTTTTATAATGAGGTAATAAATCTTTTGTCGACACTGGTTGAACTATTGTTAAGAGTATTATTACTAGCTCTGTCCCAACTCCCAAGAAAAGTGACCAAAACACATCGTTTTATTTTTGGGTCATAAATCATGACTTTGTCTCAATTTTTTAAAAAATGTTGTGCTTCTAGTCTGGGTTTCCTTGGTTTTTGCTGTGTTTACTTTGTGCGTCTTTGCTTGAGACCGAGGGGGGGGGGGCTTTTGGAAACGGTCTCTCAATTTCTGAGTAGGGGGCAGGGTCCCTCCTCCCGGGTTTGTTGTTGTTCTTTAACTAAATGCATTACTATAATTAATCAACATGTCTGTTTTTCATTTTACTCAGCACTCGGAAACTACTACTCACTTTGTAGGAACTAATATATTTTTTTTCTATAAAAAAAGATGTGCAAGGTTCTCTCCGAAAACGTCGAAGATTCGATAGCTGAATATGCAGCAAACCAAACAGCAAATGCGGGGATGAGAAAGAATCTTCCTCTGTTTCAGAATATAAACTCCGAGATGAACCAAATACTTTCTTCTTCTTCTTCTTCACAACAACAAACTTCTCCCAAGAACCCAGACACCCTCGAAGGCACACACGACACTATTAAACCAGAAACTGGAGAGCCAAATTCCTTGTCTACTCCTCTAGCTGGCAAAGAAAATGGAGACCTTCCAAAAGTAGATTCCAAACCTCAACCTGAGAGGAGCGAACCAAACCTAGGGGTAGCGGGAAGCAGTGGGGCCGGGGAAGCTCCCAAGGAAGAAACACCAGCTACCATGGGCAATGCGGAAGACACCAGTGCAGAAAAGGCTAGCAGCATGGATTTGGATTGAGTTTTTGGGATTTCTGAGGCTTTGTGTACTCTATTCTATACTCCGAGACGACCGTATATGGTACTGCTACTTCTGTTCAAAGAAAAAAAAGAAGCTCATTCCTACTTTTTAAAGGAAAGTGTAAGTAGCTTAGGGTGTTTAGGACCCTTACCCTTCGCTTCCCAATCCTACTTTATACATTCAAAAGGGATATGTGAGTATTATGTATTTAAAGAAACTTGTTTTACTACGGTATAATGTGTTTGAGTCAATTATATGCTCTGTAGGCACGGATATGGATATGTAAGCTGAGAAATTGCATGATTTTTTTGTGTGTAAAGAAATGTTTGCGCCCTTGCGTTTTAGTACATTACTCCTCTCTATTGTAAATGAATTGTGTTCTCACAATTTTCATTTTCAATTTTTTATATACTTTTGGTTCAAGAAATTTGGAAGGTAAAGAAAAGAAAATAACTCTCTCCCTAAGATTGGAGAGATTTGGTTTTTCCTCCTATTTCTACATTTTACCTTTTTCATTTTTTTCACTTTTCTTTTATATTCTTTTTAATAAAAAAGGAAAACTATTTTTCCTTTCATTTTCTTTTCAAGTTCTTTGAACCAAATAAATGTAAACTTTGTGAGATGAAAACATGAAGAGGGAGTATAATACAGATTTTATATCTGATGGGAACCTGGCCTATCAAGACATTATAAGATGGGTTGGGTTTAAAATATGTACGAGGCCCAAGTTAGGATCCATAACTTTAGAAGATCCGGCTCAAGTATAGTAAGATAAATGGGCTGGGGTCGGTCCAATTAAAGGATCGAACCGGGGAGAATTAAGACGGGACTTGAGAAGATAGGGCAGAAGCAATAGTTGAGCTCCAGCCTATAGAGGACCAAGTCACCAAAGAAGTACACGGCCCATCCCTATCGAATTGTGGTGCGCCTCCGATGGACAAAAAATTTCCTGTCATTGTCTTAGACAAAGGTGATAGAGAATATTTTTCCACGGATGGATTTGTCCTAAAGTGGATAACCTGGAGTGAGAGAGGGAGCCTTCTGGAAAAGAAAGATTTCCCGAATCTTCGCTCAACCACCAAAGATATCTTGATGAGGTGGTGGTTAGGGGAGTCTCCTATAAAAGAAAAAGAGACTTCCATGAAAGGTCGAGTAACTTGTAAGAGAGTGAGAAAAGACATACTTTGAGTAACAAAAAGAATATTCCGGCGATCCTAGAGAATATTACGATCTATAGACGCACGGTTTAGATGAAAGGGTCTCAGTTTAAATTATATTACTGTGTGTTGTCAATTTTACACTACTCTATCTTTACTCTTTCACTGTTACATGGCCCAGATACTGATATTTGGATCTCGAACTGCCCAATAATCTAAGGGGAAAATATTAAGGATCTATCAAAATTATTATTATCATATACTCTGTTGCTATTTTTTGGGATGCAGTTGGGTCATTGTTGTATTACTCTGTATCATATGCACTTTCTGTTTAAAAAAAGAATTATATTCTTTACTATTTAAAAATCACGAAAACTTGTGTTTATTTGTGCGTTTTGATTGACTATGTGATAAAATAAAATATTCTTGTCAGTTTTTGTTTTGTAAAACTTTTGATGAATTTTTAAATGTATATAAGCTTTATTTTTATATCTATACCAATCTTTAAATAAAATAAATTTAAAAAATTTAAAATTTTACTTTGTTTCGCATAAAGTGTAAAACAATTTTGGATGAATGGAGTACTCTGTATCTCATTGTTAACTTGTCCTTCCTTCGTCCTAATTTAAATTAGGGAGCGTCTAAAATGACACCAGTTATTTATACACCAGTTGCTTACACCAGTTCGTTTGGGGTACCTACGGTGCTTCGTTTGTCAAAACAACGGTTCCTACCCCCCTAACCCTCTCCCTAAACCCCCCACCCTTG